GGACTGACCTTATCGTAACGAGAACGACTACCTAAGTGTCGAATTCCAGTGGTTAAGTGAAGCATAACCATCTCTGTAGCTTCCCCTTCCTCAATCCCAACAGTTTCTGCGGTGGGCACTTGTCAGCAACAATAGCCTCTCACTGATAACCAATCTCTTAAGACAATGTTTTCGCAAACCACTAAGTCTAGGAAAATAGCACTTCTCGGCCGGTGGATGACATTACAAAAGACAACATTTGCACTGCATAGGCTATCGATTGATTATTAAACGATTGTTAAAAAAGCCGTGCTTTAAAAAAAAGATCCAGAATAATTCAGAAAGAAAGAAAAGAAAGGAGTGGAAAGCAACCCACAGCGACCAGTGCCTCCAAAACTAATATGTTAAGCTAGGCACCCAGAATATGGACAGACCCATGAGAAATCTTTTGTATCAAAGCGAAACATAACATTATTCGTCTAACTTTTTGCACATCAGCGGTATGGCTCCAGTTGTACTGCAAACCATGTTCATTTATCAGAATTTGCAAATAAAGTAAGTTTTAAACTTACAATAACCTACTCACAAGCAAAAAAAAAGCGGATAACACCAACAACACAACTAACACAGATGATTTATACGCCAGTAAACTGGAACAACTCTCCTAATGTTTGTGACAAGTTATGCTAGTGAAATCTCTATTCTTCCTTAATGCGTACCAAGGCTTCTGCGTGCCAGTGTGTACTGTTTGCTACGAAAACCACTCTCCCTCAGAGGTCTATGTGAAGAAAACTGAGCATCCAGTCACATGTTTGGCATTTCGATTGGATATATTTGGCACAGATGAATACCGAGGTTTTGGCTCATGTGGCCTTGGAGTCTTTGATGTAAATATGAACTTTGGATCCCAATTCTCATCTTCATGATACAGGGTTAACTGAACTCTCCTCCTGTTTACGCAACGCATAGTTTTCGGAAGCGTACGTTAAAGCAGAGAGAAAATCACTTCGGAAACTTTGCTCTTCTTATAGAATCCTATGTAGAATGCCGATCATGTTCTTATAAACACCTAACCTCACTCGTTCTCCTCTACATCTTCAAACTTAATCATATGGACTTTCTAACCCGCACACATAGGACAATGACGTCAAGAGATCGTCGTTCTCTTCCGCGTAATGAAACACAAAGAGATCAGAATTTCTCATAAATATTTTCTTCTATAACGTAAGCCATTGAATGATTTCTCTACATTAGCGGTGAAAGTCGGTCAGCAATTCTTACGATGGTATAGCTGTCGGTCACTGACATTCACTGCAATTCTATTCCGTTCCTATTTCCACATGTTTCTCAGCGTTACTAAAACCATTCTTTGGTACACTGTGTCGTATTGAAAAACCACACTTTTACGCTGATCACAATATCGCTACCAATCTCCCGTCCACGGAGGGATGATGGGCTTGGTTATCCTCAGCCCTGAACGGAATCGAACCAGCATGCCCGGGATGACCAACATCACTGCCACTGTGTTATCCGTCCCATACCACTACCGCCCAAAAAAACATCACAAGATGGGATTAGCTGCAGTCGTGTTCATGTTAGATTTCATGAAGTTTTTACTAAAACTAACAGCAGAAACAACAGCAAGCAAATAGTTTCTAGTTTAGTGCGATAACACACAACTCACCCTATCATAGTCATCCAGTGACAGCTCCTTGCCTTCGGAATTCGCCGAGGAGAACGGAAGGTTGTTCATCCCGCAGCAGAGAGGACCGATCGGACGATGCTGAACAACTCGCGCTTACACCACGCCTACAAAGGATTCTTAGCGCTTGGAGCAACAAATTGAAGAAACACACATAGAAATGGGAAAGGGAGCCCATGTCCGGGTGACGGTTCCGCTCCCGAACCGTGTCGCTCACACGCTCTCCTGACCGTGGAGCGCGGCAGCCACTCGCCAGTCCACATCGCTTCCTATTCAGAATTGCGAGGAAGGACTTGTCTACCTGTTCGTAGCTTCTTTGAAGGATGTGTTTTGTTTTGTCTTCCATATCTTGCTATACGTTTATCATTCATGCCTGTGGAAGGCACCAGGCAAGGGGGTGTAGGACAAAGTGGTGAACCATCATTTGTAGACTATAAATTAACATGAAAGTCCATGTTCGTCAGCGCTATTCCATTTCCCTCACATGCCACGATTTACCTTATCTTAAAGTTCGAGAAAAAGGACGTAGCACTGAAACAGCAGGCACTTCATTGGTAGTTGGTCATTGTTTGTCGGCCAGCCAGTGCTGCCCAGTACTGTTGACTCAGTCCAGACAAACAAACAACAATATGTACAGTTTTGCAATTCTTTTACTTCCAATGGAATTAGTACCTACCGATGTATCGACCCAGTGCTGCTATCCTCTCAAAAAAATCTGGCACCAATTTGTCGACCCCGGAGGGATGGAAGTCTTGGTGAGCCATGGGTGCTGGGATCGGTTCCGCGTGTGTGTTGCAGGGCGCCTCCGACCACTTCGCCACACGCGCCCCTTTAAACGTAAGAAGAGCATCTCTTTACTCTGAAATTAATATTGTGACACCTCCCAACGGTTTACCGCCTCATCGTCGCTTGGAGGTGTCCATGGGTGTTGAGCTGCAATGTACAGCGGAGGATTCATCACCTCAGCAGGATCTCCCAAGCTGAGAAGTCTGGCGTTTCCATCAGAAAACCTAGCTAGGAGTAAACGAATACCAAGATTCACCACCGTCCTGATACCAAACTAGTGGCATGGTGGCAAATCTCCGTCTGATCCGCAACGGCGTCTACTGTTTGTGGTGGAGACGACTTAGAGCAGACTTAGCTAGGGTGACCTCGGAACTCCAGGAAGCCACGGTGGCTAAACCAGCTAAACACCGAAAAAATGGATATTGTGCTAGAGCCTGCACAACCAGTGAAGACAAGACATCCAAGTATCCAAGTAAACAAGTAAATATTCGAAATTAATTGCAAAAACTAATCAAGCTATAAGCAGGTGAGAACGCTAAAGTCAAAAGTCCGTTTTGTGATAGAGAAATTTCGTCAGTGTGAAAAGTCAGTGGTAGGGTAGAGTTTTGCGCTGTGAAAGAAAAGCAATTGCTTATCTCGGGAGTGCATTGCGTTGTTAATGTAAATTCTATTTATAATGTATTCTTTCTTTGATGAGCTGACACGAGGTTGATAATGATATTTATTCATTTTCGGCTAACGTTTCGACGTCTTCGTCTTCCTCAGAGCCGATGATCCGAGTCGATGGTCCATGCTTGTTGTTCGTCTTCGACGTTGCAGCTTCGCCTTCGTGTCGAGTCAGGTCTTCCTCAGTGAGCCATCTTCTCGAATCTATTTGTAATACCTGTTTACGGGGGCGCGTGTGGCGCAGTGGTCGGAGGTGCTGTGCAATACACATGGGACCGATCCCGGCGCACCAAGCCTTCCATCTCTCCGGGGTCGAGAAATTGGCACCGGACTTGTCTGGGAGGGTAGCAGCACTGGCTCGACACATTAGTAGGCCACTGCGAATCATTGTAAACGCCAGATATGCATTCAATCACCTCAAATGATGCCTAGTGAAATCGAATGCATGACGCATCCCTCGGGGATTGACCAGCGCCGAGAGCTTTATCCTTTATCCTTTTACCTGATTACGAGTTTCCAGTTCGCTTCGAGAGAAAGTGGCGCTTGATAAGATTCACTGTGCTCGTACTGGGCTGAGATCCAGAACTGACCAGAAATTGCCTTCCGTAATAGCGAAGTCGTTATTAGTGGTTGTTATTCGTTCGCATTTTCTGAGCATTAAGGCGTAACAGCCATCATCAAGGCACCGTCACAGAAATGGCGGATAGCGGAAGCTGTAAGGACTCTGGAATCACGTTTTTTGATCGCTTAGCTGAAGAGAATATGGAAGAACGTTCTACAGCTGGCAGTAGTGAGTAGACGGAGTTACATTGTATGAATGAGATGACTGTTCTATTGATGCTAGATGTTATTTCGAACATCTTCGGACGATTTTGGAGACCACAAATCGCTGCCAATCATCAGACAATCGGATCCGCGGCGTTCGATAGTGGATGTGCACCTGCTGCTGCTGATGGCGACAGTGGCGAAGTCGATCCCAGTCCTCCACGGGCGTCCTCAACGGCAAGCAGTAACATTTCCAGTAATAACGTACGTGGTTCATTTATTCTTGACCTCATCACCGCATATGTTTGTTTTTTTCCTGCCGCCACTTATGAACATTTAATTCCTCTGTTTCAGATTTCATTAATCAAAGAGGAGGATGAATTCGTTGTTTCAGCACAGACATCAAATCCCAGCACCAGTAAGAATCTCTTCGTAAATGTTTATACTTATGAGCTTATCGTCAATCTTGAAGCAGTTCTGTTAACTAAAAATATAATTTATGCTAGTTTACATAGTACCTTTTTTGGATTACAACTAGAACTTACCAGTAATTGCTTACTTCCAAAGTACTCCCTTACTTGAATACTTGAATACTTGGACGGCCCGTTATCACTGCTTGTGCGGGCTGCAGCATATTCTCTATTTTTCGGAGTTTTGCTGTTTTAGCCGTTTTGGTTCTCTGGAGTCCCGAAGTCAACCAGGCCAAAGTCTGCCTCAGGTCGTTACCACCGTAGCCAGTCGCCGACCATGTGGATCAGAGGGAGATTTGCCACCATGGGACTAGTTTCAAACCAGGACGGTGGTGGCTCCTAGCTTAGGTCTACTCTTAACTGGACTTCTTGATGAGAACGCCGTACTCCTCAGCTTGGGAGGCCCTGCTGTCAAGATGAATTCTTCCGCTGCATATCGCAACCCGACACCAAGGAACACCTCCCAGCCACGATGGGCTGTAGACCGTTGGGAGGAAGTGCTCCTTTACTCCCAAAACGGGAGGATTCATTATGAATTGTGGTAGTTTCTTACTGACATAAGGCGTATTGAAGCTACAATACTCACTGTAAACTTGTTTTGTATTCAGAGCCTAATCTATAGATTTTTCGGTGGTGTTAATGGTGATGCTCCGAGGAAACTATCGGACAAGTTGGGCAACATATTCAAAACCGGGAATAGGCAAGGATTAATGGATTACAGCCGCAGCAGCTTTCGTTAGTTTTATTTCATGGTTTCCTATTGAAAACATCCATTTTGCGGAAATTCGGGTGAGGTATAGGTCAGTATTGGATGCCAGACTCCACAGGGAAGGAATGTTATCAATGCGAGGAGCGATTTTCGACATTTCGGTTGGTCTTTTTTTCTTCTGATCTTTCACTCATGCTTCTGCATTGCTACTGTAAGCTTGTTGTAGAAGAAGACATCACTGTCGTCTTTGTGGTCAGATATTCTGTGCAAGATGCTGTAACATCCATATGCCAGGGTCTTCCCTAGGTTTGTCCATCTGCTTGGTAGCTTCGTTACTCTAACTTTTTCATTAATCAAGGAATATTAAGTGGTTAGTTAGAAAGCAAATGGTAAAGAAGAATGTCTAGAAGAAATCATGAAGTAATTCTTTTTGTTTAAAAGCGCCGTTTATTCGATATGCGTTTTATTTACTGTAATTGAAACATTGGTTCATTCTCGCTACTTTATACTTTTACACAAGGTTATATGGGTGATTTACGTCTATGTCATTACTGTGCAAGAGTGATGGCGCAATATTTGCCTCCTGAGGAGGAGGTTACTCGATCTCAAGAAGAGAGTGGTCAGGTTACAAACGATGGCAAGGTTCGATTTGTGGATACGCTCAGCAACATGGGAGGAACGATCTCAACAGTATCAGGTGACCATCTTTTCCTAGAATTCTTCCACCAAATCGATACTGGTGCGAACCACTACAGTAGGAATTAAGGGCATCTGGAAAACATGGTATCTTCGTTGTTTTACTGTTGAATTTCTTCAGTAATTGTGAACATGTACTTATTTGAATACGCGGACGGCCCGTCCTCACTGGTTGTGCTGGCCACAGCATTTGCTGGTTAAGCCATTATGGTTCACTGGAATGTTAAGGTTCGCCTGACCAAAGTTAGCCCAGGTGTTCACCACCACAAGTAGTGGCCGCCCTTGAACAGAGGGAGATTTACCACCACGCGACTAGTTTGATGCCAAGACGGTGGTGGATTGTGGTATTGGCTTACTCTTAGCTAGGCTTCCTGATGGAAAGGCCGGACTTTTCAGCTTGGGAGACTGCCAGGTAGACGAATCCGCCCGCTGCGCATCGCGGCACGACACCTAGAAACACCCCCTAACCACGATGAGGCGGTAAACCGTTGGGACGTTCTTTAGTAACTGTGAACGTATATGTTGAATAAGTCGGTTTTTGTGTATTTCTCACTAGGGTTTTTTGCAGGGGCAATTGTGTGGGGATGCACACCAAATTTTGGAGCCACTGTAGTAGAAAGTGAAAATTCTTTCGCTCCAAATATGATCAAACCGCCATCCCTACTATGTGTCAACGACCTATACATAAGTCGTGAAAACCGACCCAACTCTCAAGTCGTGAGTTGTAATTATGATAGTTTTTATTATTTTTCTCGTTTGTTTTAAAAATATCTGCAGACTAGTACAAAAAATCGTTTGCGGGATGAGGAAGAATCCGGTCCTGATTGGTTTCGCAATATGGATCCTGATACAATAACTCCTGTGAAAGACGATTTTGTAAGATTTTCATTTCACGTAATATGCCAATGTTTTTTTTCTAAACCTTTCCACCAGAAAACTCGTGGTACTATTGGTTGTGCGATTGAAAGTCGCTTCGACCCTCTTCCAATTTGTTCTTCAGGAGTTTCTTGTGAGGTGGTTAACGAGACGAAATCGTCTGCAAAGTGAGGTTTTAGTGTCAGATATCCTTAGCATCGCAAATAGTGCTTTGCAGCCTTCATTTAGAAATACTATTTCTCTTTCGTCAAGAATCAATCTTGATGATGATATTGATGAAGCATTCGATCTACGAGCTGAACAATTGCTGTCATATCTGTGTTTTCGAGAGCGTCTAACCGATCAGAGGTAGTCCTAAAAAAGGATTACTTCCTGAAATATTATTTGTTGCTGTTTTTCGAGGTTTAGTGCTTATAGGTGGAAGTCGATCATTCTTAGCATGGGGAAAGAAATAGCTCAAACTATAAAAGTTGACGTTGCTAAGCGACATGATCACATGGATATTCGTCCGTATGTGCACGTAAAAAAACTTTTTGTGAATCAGGATCAACCAAACGTCGAGGTAACTAGCTTTTGCAGATGTTTCTCACAATTCACGATCAGTATATTTACAGCTTATATGGGGCGTGGTGTGCAATAAAAGCGTGATTCATAACTCAATGGCAGATCCCGTGAAAGATGCGTCTGTTATGATTGTAGCAGGAGATATAGAATATGAACGAGTTCCTGGACGGCTTTCTACTTTGGAACCGATTCTTAATCAAGAAGGGGAATTTTTAGCCAAGCAGGTAGTTCACTGATTTCCCACATCTTTAAAGTTTTGTCCAGAATAAATGATCTTATGTTATAATTTTGATGAGTCTCTATGGTGTTGTTTCAGGTTGAACGGATTCTATCCCGACGTCCTTCCGTCCTGTTGGTGGAAGGGAACGTGTCGAGATTGGCATTGGAGTTATTGTGCCATGCTGGTGTACGCGTTGTGGTAAATGTTAGCATGCGGTAAGTTCGAGCTCGCTAATCCATTTTAAATCTTCATGAATTCTGTTATAGAATTGTAATGTGCAGTTAAGTATACCTAGTTTCGCTCTGTTTGAATCTTCCTCATGTTTTTGAGAGCTGTGTGGAGAAAAAAGTTGTAGAAACTGTTATTACTCTAAGCAGGGTATGACGTGATTCTCGAAGTTTGAACGAAGTAATGGTAGCGAAAAGAAGAAATCCGCAAGAATTCAGTGGAACAAAGGAGGCTTTTCAGAGTCCTCCATAGAGTCGCACGTTCAACTGGGGCCGACATACTGCCAAGCTCTGATGCTCAGTTAATCCAGCAAAACATTGGATTTTGCCCACACTTCTCCCAGCGAACTGTTGAGTTCAAAGATGGACGTCAAAAACTTTTTTTGGTATGGTAATATGGTTCCATTTAATATAGCATTTTAGTCCATTCCAATGCTGAACTGTATCAATGCAATTTTGAAGGTTTTCAATGAATGTCATCCAGATCGAGGATGCAGCGTACTACTTAAAGGTTCAGACGCTCGGGAATTGAAGGTTGTAAAAGTATGTTTCGCCGTTTTAGTTTATACTTTGCCCACATGCTCCATACATCGCGGCGGTACTCCATTCTATCGCTTCAATGTCTTCTTTTAGCGTATTCTTCTGTTTCTCATCACGGTTCAGTATTCTTCTCTCCTAGAGAAGGCATTTTTAAACATGTTTAATGTTCGAATGTCGCATCAAATCTCAAACTGTGAAGTGTGCGAGGCTCGTCGTGAAGCCGTTAACCAAAACAGCGAAAAGGTTTTCTGTTTGCCTTTCCTGTGTTTTTTAAGCGTTCTTCAAACGAAATACGTAGTTGCTTAATGATTCGTCGAACTTTACAAATTTTCCAGTTTTCAGTCCGATTTCGTAAAGTCCCTTAATTCGAGCATCTTATCCGCTTCACCTTTTATTTACTACGAGTCTCCATATCTTGAGTCAGCTAAAGGAAAGTCGGTACTAAATGTTTACTTGGTACTATTTTAATTGTCGATTCCATTTCTCTTCCAGAAATTGCTCTTTGATTCCATATTTCAATCTACCAGTCTACCATTTCTATACGAATGATGATTTTGATGCTCGTCAAATTGAGGAAAAAATCGAAGTGCAATGCAGTCTAGATCGACAACGCTCGGTTTGTCTACTCTCTGCAGACTAAAGTTTTTTCGCCGTTGCAGTTCTTCAGCTTTCTCAGATTTCCGTACCAGCTATTCCTCGTCATAATTATGCCATAAACGGAGCTCGTGATGCTGGGAAAATGGGCGATTTAAACTCTTTTCGTGCTCTAGGTGGTGCAATTTTCAAGAAGCGCCTTAGGTGTCGTCGTCTGGAAAGGTCTACTCAGACAGATAGTAAGGTAAGACTTTTACTGATGGCTGTGTTTGTTGTTTCTAAAGATCTTTACCAGGAACGTCAGAGATTGCGTCGGCACGACATGCTGGATCCGTATGTACATCAACGTGTTGCGGTGCTTTTCGGATCATTTTCTGGCAAGTCGCCGAACGCGCCCTACTTCTGTGTTCGCCCTTGGGTAGTCAGTATGGAATTTTATGGACTCCATGACATGACTCTTGGAGAGTTTCTTACAAAGTAATCACTTAAATCTTATTCTCTAAAAATCATATATTGCCTGATATGAAACTAATACCCATGTTCAAATCTCAACTCTGTCGCAAAGTTCAAAAGTTGACTAGGAATAGCCGGAACATTTTCTGGATAGATAAATTTTAGAACGAAATGTTTTTAACTCATTTTCTATCTTCTTCTTTTTGTCCTGAAATCTACGTCCATTTGCCAATACACTTTCAAAAGGTGTGCAAGGCAAAGCTGTTGTTGCTGAAGGGCGAGAACACTTAACACAGTATTAACGTCAATAACACATACATTACATGCGTCTGAGACAACTGTATTTTACGGGGTTTTCATCACGATCAATCGTTTTAGGACATTAAACGACCTAAGATTTTTTTGACATAAGAAATTTGACTTAAAAGGCTTTAATCTTTGGGACTTTTATGGGGAATTTTTCTTAGCAATATTAACTTCTCAATGAAAAACGGCACTGCTCTTTGATTCTGAACTCCATACCAGGTTACTCTCGGCGTCGGTCAATCTCCGAAGGATGTACCATGCATTCGACTTTATTAGGCATCGTTGGAGGTGATTGAGTGCATATCTGGCCTTTACAATGACTCGCGGTGGTCTACCGATATATCGAGCCAGTGCTGCAAACCTCCCAGACACGTCTGGTACCAATTTACCGACCCCGGTGGGGTGAAAGGCTTGGTGAGACACGACCTTGTTTAATGTCGTAAGGGCATCAGTCATGGTCAGTGTAGGATTTGCTTGGTAAGGCACTTTTGCCTCACCACATTAACCAATTGACAGCTAGTCGAAACAAAAATGTTCGAAGAGACAGCCAGTGACGTGCTCACTACTCATTTCCTCTATCCACAAACTATTGTTGTTGAAATCTACCGTCTCACAAAACGTGTTGACTTTTATCCCCATGGTCAGTTTTTCAGGCCGGCTTTTTGTTTACGTGGGAGTTTATTCTCTCGGCGTTTCTGTGTTTCTTATAAGCTGGAATGAGGCTATGTAACTCTTATTCTATAGCAAATGAACTTTTCTGCTGATTTCGTTTTCTTTAATGTGTGGGTACGATCACATTAACGCATAGTTTGCACATCATCAATTTTTCATTTTTTTCATAACCCATAACAGCACTACGTATTGTGCGAATTCAAGTAGTTCCATTCGGTACGTTTCCATCCATCGTGAACAAAAATCTTCGTTTTTAAATGTGGGTTCGGCTGCTGCTTGTTGGTTTTCAGTCTTCTTTATGGATGTAAATCATCTGGCTGGTTGAGCTGATTCTCTCTAGAATCCTGGAATAGCCTTCCTAGGGTTTAGTTTTAGTACTAGTTGCATGCTAAATAGCTTCTTCGAAAAACCAACCTCTTTTTGTTTCTCCTCCTCTACATTGGGAAAAGAAACCACTCTCAGAGAATCTATTTGGCGTGAAGAATGTTTTTGTACAAGGTGAAAAAGAAATCAGTCGGTGATAGAGGAATAGGCCACGCGTGATTACGAGGTATTCTCTGCGTTTCATGTTCGCGCTATCTAGTCGTTCTGAAACCCGTCAAGATTTTTTCAAGTGATTCCTATGTTTGGATCGTCACTTTGACTTCAATATCTCCGCTGTTTTGGTGTCCTATATGTACCCAGTAAAGGACGTAGTCTAAGTTTAAGCTTTCCATCTTGGTATCCTTTTATGCGGGCGCAAAATGCTGTGCTTTGCCATTGTATTAATATTTCTGTTTCGAAGGTTATCGAGTGTATTATACCAAAGCCGTTGCATTCCCTGTCGGTACCGTCTACCATGGATACCATTCTTTCATATTCCTCTTTTACGAAATTATATGACGTCACAAATATGGTGAAAATGCTTACTTGGATAGTCGGATGGCCCGTCTTCACTGGTTGTGCGGGCCCTAGCACAATTTCCATGCCCCGGAGATTTGCTGGTTTAGCCACTGTGGTTCCCTGGAGTCCCGGGGACAGCTTGCTCCAAAGTCGTCACCACCACAAACAGTCACCGGCTTTGTGGATCAGAGGGAGATTCGCCATTATGCGACTAGTTTGATACCAGGAGTTTGACACCGGTGGTGGATCCTGATATTGGTTTATTCTTAATTAAGCTTCATAGTGGAAACGCAGGGTTGCTTTTCAGCCTGGGAGACCCTGCAGTGGGGATGAATCCCCCGCTGTGCATCCCAGTCCAATACCCAGGAACACCCCCCCGCCACGATGAAGTGGTAAACCGTTGGGAGGATTATGGGAAATTATCTCCAATATTTACGTTTTATCTCGTTCGCGTGATAAATCTAACAGAAAAATGTATGAATCTCGACGCTCCTAGGTTTTATAATGGTTTTTGGAGAAATCTGTAGTTGAGTAACGCTTAATAAACACAGTGCACTTCCTAATAGTGCATCCATTTCTAGACACTTAGTAAACATGAGTCTTGCGGGAGGAAGGCAGATGGTAGCTGTGCAATCTACAGTTGGGCTTAACACATTGGCGAGCATAGGCCTTGATTCTAATGTGCATTCATAAGTCTTTTCTCGAGTACAAAACAATTGAACAAACGTGATTTCATCCATTCCGACACGTAGGGTTTTCAGTGTACCTCGTTGAAGTTTACAATCCAGATCAAGATTTGTAAAAATCGAACGTGTTTTGAATCTCTCGAAAATTTCATCTTAAAGCGATTTAGGGGTGGAAAATTTAAGCAGTTATATGTGCCTTTACAATACTACGACAAAGTATCTTCTGCATTATGTTCTGTATTCACAAAATACCCAAGATTCCAAGAAATAAGGTCGCGGTGGTCGGAGGCGCCCAGCAATACGCATGGGATCAATTCCCGTGCCTCTGGTCCATCAAGTCTTCCATCCCTTCGGGGTCGGCAAATTGGTAGCAGACTTAGGATAGCAGCACTCGCTGGATACATCGCTAGGCCACCACTAGTCATTGTAAAGGCCACATATGCATTCAATCATCTCCAAACGATGCTTAGTGAAGTCTAATGCATGGTCCTTCTCTGGCGGATTGGTAAACGCCAAGAGCTTTATCTTTTTATTTTTTATGAGAACAGGAATAGGAACAAGGAAATTTACAGAACATAGCGCGGTCGTAAATCTGATGTGACTTCATATATTTAAGACAATCATAACGATACCGGTCTTTCGACAGCGGACAAATTTTTCCTTTAGTATGGAGTAGGATTTGGGATAGTAACAGGCTTGTACAAGAGGCTTTAGCTTTACATTTGGAAGTATGTACGACTTTAGTAAAGTTTTCTTTCAAATTTAAAACCGTTAGCTGTTTAAGAAACCTCAAAAAACTATGTTCGAAATTCAACATTTTGAAAATTTCCTCGTGACTTGGAGTCGCGGAAACGAACGACACGTCGGGGATTTGTTGGGCAAAATTACGCTTGTCTAATTGCTTTCGTGCTCTAAATACGAGCTTTGAGGCCAGAAGTGAGAGGAAAGTGGCCTTTGTGTGTGTCAGAAAATCAGAATTTATTTTTGGTACAATGAGAGAACTTGTATGGAAATATACCTGGGTTCAAAAATTGGTACCCGACTCTTCCTAGTAAAAATCACGGTCTGAAATCCAGTCGGAGACACTGCAGCCCGGCTATCCCAAGACTCCAGCGAGAATCGACTCGACCAGCCTTCTACGTCGTCTAAGATGAAATGAGAAATCTTCAAGCGGTAACCCAACCCATACGTAAAGCGTTGGAAAACCATCGGGGATGGTGGATGGAAGGACGAATGTGGGAAGCGCTGGGATCCACATTGTAGGCGTGGATATGGGTCATATAAAGTAGGGCAAATTTAAATGAAAATTTCCATAATATTCCAAAATACGCATTTAAAGCAATGGGAATCACAATGAATATTTCAGAGCTTCCACTGGGTAACTTCCTGCAGTTACTCGAACAAATCGCTAACTAAACCATACGTAGAAGCTGGAAATCAATAATGCTCTCAAAAACGTAGTATGGGCAATTTCACATTAAAATTCGAGCCTCTTTTTAGGTTCTGCTTTAGCAAGTCCTATGAGTGTCCCTCTTCAAACTGCGAAGTTCCAATGCTTGATCACTCTAGGAAACTTGTGAGTTATAATGTAACAGGTGGTCTGCTGAGCACTTTTTAAGCCTATCATTTTGATATTTGAAGATATGGGATTACAAATTTTATTCCTAGATAAGAACGTTCTTCATACGAGGCCGAGCAAGTTATTTACCTTCTCCAGGTTTATGGTCGTGTGTGCGTTGAGATTACAACACAGATTGTGGTCAGTAATACAGAGGAATCGTCTGTTAATAGCACTTCTCATGGACAAGTCTTTGCCTGGAACTATTGTGGCAGGTTGACGAGTTGCTTTCCAAAGCTTTCAGCAGTTTTCTGTAATTGACTATTTTATGAAGTTGTAAAATATCTTCACCTGTCACCGCAATGAATAGTACCGTATGGCATTTATCGTTTGGAAAATACCTTGACTACCTTGCATACTCAACTTTCTCAAAGGTGTGGGATGTTTACATAACATGTGTTTCTATTTATTATTGTTTTGTTTCTATATAAATACAACGCAAGAATTTACAAGTGTGGTATTTGCAGGCAGGCGTCACCTCTCTGGTCTGGCAAGAGTGTTCACACTGTTTTTTCCACGAGCTTACGCATTTTTATTCTCAAGGCAACTACATTGCGAGTTTTAAAGTGACGCCGGTGGGTTTTCCTTTACTTGTAGAGGTTTTGTCGTCTTTCTAGAGTAATGAATTGACAATTGAGATTCGCCCATACAATGTGCAATTCTCACCGATACAGTGCCAAATAGTACCCATTCAGTATAGTAAACAAACCCTACTGGATGGTGTGACAAGGTATTTTAGCCTCACTTCTTTGTTAAATAGTCATCATCGAGCAAATGGTTAAGTTAAGGATTGCATCTCTGGCTGACGATATTATTCGTACTGCAGAAGATCGTCTCTCTCTCGTAGCTCAAAATGACCATTATAATCAGTACGCTGGAACTTTTTACAACGTTCTTCGTCGGATGGTAGATCGAACCACTGTTCTGCTCGAGTGAGTGAAGTGCACAGTTGCCATAGCTTTTTTGAGCACACTGTGAACACAGTGTACCAAGTAGACTCATACCCAATTCTGTTAGTTTTACTAGTGCTAAGTGTTAAATTTTCATTGATTTAGGGAAAAACGCAAGTTTGCAGGGGAGTTGAGAGCTGTTGATAAAATGACTTTCCCTTCAAATGACATTTATGCTATAAAGGTTATTTTCTTGTTATTGTAATACTAGTTCCCTTACTGATAAGTTATAAAACTGTTCTCCTTATCCTTTAGGCGAACGAAGCTCTAATGTACATCCGTGAGGCTATATACCAACTTATTACTGTGTGGAACGAACAAAGCGCATCCCTCGCAGCCACACTTCGTGTTGCTAAAAGAACTGCTGAAGACGGTGGTGTCATTCCTGAGGTATTATTTCCGTTTTTTGTAGTTGATGTGTACATTTATTCAAAGAGTAGTTGTTTTCCGGCAGCACATTTCGGACTGGAAAAAATAGATGATCCTTTCCCACCCTATTTGCATCTCGGACTTGAGCTTAAGCCTCGAGTTGGTGTTATCGTTAGGGACATCGTGGTACGTTTATGTCATTGCGGAAGTAGTCGTAGTTGTCATTTTAGATCCCTTTATTTTTTCCTAATTTTAAGTCTTTGTTTTAAAGTGACGCAACTTTGTATCCATTTTGCAACAGTTGTTTTATTTCAATGTCAAATCTATATTTAAATAAATTAACTGTCATCTTTGAAGGACTCAAGAGGGAACTACAGACCAGACATTGGTAGTATCATAGCGTATGCATTGTCTACAGTGAACTACGAGGTCAGAAGGAATTACATTTATTTCGATTTTTATAGGATTTATCCAGGTGTAGTAGTCGCTGTATTTTTGTTTGCAAAATATTTCATAAAATCCAGAAGTACCAACAAAAGGAAGGAAATTGTGCTAAAGGGTTTCATGCCACACTTAACTCTAGTGCAACCAATGTTGCATTAGAAGAAGAACCTTTGGGCACCGAACACGTCGAATTCGAGTTCCAGGACAATCAGGCTTCTTACTATGTTAAGGTGGAATGTTAACTTCTCTCATCTTTTACCAATCTTTAAGTTCAATAACTTCAGGCATATTATGCGGAGAAATTTCGTCAGTTACGCAAACTATTGTTTACCGAGGGTGAAGAAGCATTTACGCGATCTCTATCTCAAAGTACATTCTGGACACCACAGGTACGCCTGGAGACATAATATGTTCTTTGGTAAACATTAGTACTCCCAACGGTTTACCGCCTCATCGTGGTTATGAGGTGTTCCTGAGTGCCGGGCTGCGATATGCAGTGGGGGATTCATCCCCTGGCAGGCTCTCCCAAGCTGAGAAGGAGTCCGGCTTTTCCATCAGGAAGCCTAGCCAAAAGTAAACCAAAACCAGGACTCACCACCGTAGTGGTATGAAACTAGTCGCATGGTGAAAAACCTTCTCCTGATCTACAAGAGCGGCGACTGCCTGTGCTGGTGACGACCTGGGGCAGTCTTTGGCACGGCTTACCTCGGGACTCCAGGGAATTACAATGGCTAAACCAGGGAGTCTTCGGAGATTGGAATTATGCTGTGGCCCACACAGCCATTGAGGACGGACCATCCAAATATCCAAGCAAATAAGTAAACATTACTAAGGCTTTAAGGGTGGTAAATCTGGATCGTTTTTCTACCGAACTCAAGATGACCGCTTTGTCATTAAACAAATGTCGCGTTTTGAAATACAGTCCTTTGTCCAGTTTGCGCCTCACTACTTCGAATACATAAAGACAGCAGTTGCTGAGAACAAACTGACGTCTTTATGCAAGGTAACTGCTTTCGAGCTTTATTAACTTGTAAGATGGATCTTGACTATACGTTTCTAGGTATACGGCGTATTTCGAGTAGGGTACAAAAGCAAAACAGCACAAATGAAGGCGGATATTTTGGTCATGGAGTACTTGTTCTACAAGTGCAATGTCGATCAAGTGTGGGATCTGAAAGGTTCTCTCAGGAATCGGTTGGACAGTCTTCTGTTAACGTGAAAATATAATTAACGCAAATATGTTTACTGCTTTCGCCTCTTACTTCTCAACTAGTCGCTTTTGTGCATTGCAAAACTCAAATTCGATCAGAGCAAAGGGTGATATCAGTGGAGGAATAGTTCACGCCTTGTTTAACACATCCACACCGGTGCCAGTTAACTTCATTTCATACATCAGCGTATCTAACGAGGCAGATTTACCGATATGTTTCTTCTTACTCATTTTTCTTCCTGGTGCTTTAAATCATTGAGCTTTTTCTTCACTTCTTGCATTCAGTTGACACCTTACTAACCTCAGATATTATACCAGTATTCTCGTAGAGAAAATTAGGTTAAAAGCATTGTGGCAGAACGAGAGACAAAACTTTCCTCACGCTGTACGAGTTAGCTATAGCATGTATAAACTGTTCTAAATACATAGCTGTTGTTGCATCGCCACATGCGATTATTAAGCAAAACTAGGCGTCGTCGTGAATGTGTCATCCATTTCGTTATCATGTTGTGTGTGGCCGTCCATCAACATGAGATCGTTTTGCAGCATGGCAGGTACAGGAAAAAGCACGTCCGACCTTGTACTGCTGGATGAGAACCTAATGAAAGATCTTTGGAACAAGCAGCTTTACATCTACCCCCATGCTAAAGCGGCTCTTAACCAGGCAATCAGCAATGATAGCCATTTCTTGAGTTCTCAGGTATTCTCTTCATGCACACTAGGAATTGTTTTTCTCCTATGGTTGCTGATGTAATGTAAAATGCTAGTATGTACCATGATGTATTATCTTGTCGTATATAGCTGTCCAATTTGAGCATGTGATGGACTACTCTCTGCTTGTTGGAGTCGATGAAACGAACGGTGAGCTGATACTTGGTATTGTTGACTACATGCGAACCTACACACTAGATAAGGTACTTATTTAATCCGCTCCCATTTTCGAGCGATTCTTCACCAACGAATTCAGAAGTTGGAGTCATGGGTTAAGATTGTCGCCATCCCGGGCGCGCACCTTCCGACAATTCTCAGTCCAGAGATGTATTGCACGCGGTAATTGCGCTGTTATTTTCGGGCTACTAGGATTCCAAATGATGAAATGTTGCAGGTTCTCTGATGCTATAGACACATATTTTCCGGTAATACCAGACCAATGGACAGGTCTTGGATCTGCAGTATCATACTAGCCGTACATCCTATGTTTTCGTGGTCTCTAGAGTACACCACTCCCTCGATATCTATTTACTTTTTGGTATCATTGGTTAGTTAATAAGCTTAATGACATAGCTAACCGCTTTCTGAATTTCAAATTAAACTGATAGCAGTCCCGCTGTTTTGAAATATCCTATATTGCTTCGATTGTCAGTAGAACGATAAAGTGCTTGAATGAAATAATGTATATGTGTAAGTCAGTCGTGATGTATTTATGTACGGGATGTGATACAGATATGAATAAATTGATTTTATTTTAAATGAGATTACTCGTTAATTTAAGTCTTTTCTAATTTTGAAATTCTTCATTTCAAAAGCCGGTAACACTGAGCATATCTGCATTAGAAGCAGGTAGTACATGAAGAATTTGTTGCTAAGGATGGCTAACAATCTAGATGCATCTCTTCAACTTATCACATTATTAAACAATGGAAAGAAACCGTAGACTTCATTACTACAAAGGCGTTCACAGTGCAGACTACTCGATAAATGAACTAAAGAAACTGCATTCAAGGGAGATACCCGTTAACATGAAGTGTGGTGGGAGAAACAATATTCCCACAGATTATATAAAGCAGATATAGATTTCCACCACGACCAGTGACGACCCACCAGTGGTAACATGTGTTTCCAGTACTGTATCGACCAGGTAATGTAATGCAGTTGATAAAACCTATGTTGTGATATCCTCAGCCAAAAGCAGTTTACGGTCATCTTGTGGACTTCCAGGACGCGACCTAAGTAAGAGTGTTAGAAGGCTTAACGTTTTGTTTTCTGCGTTCTATAATTTTCATGGCAGTTTACTAGGCGAAATACAACCACAACGTTGCTGAGATATTTGCAAAACTCTGGACCGCCGGTGTCTATGGTGGGGAACGAACGCGCTATTGTCCGTTCCGGGGAGTAACGCGTTCACCACCACACCATGCGGGTCCTTCGCTTCGCCTGTCTCAGCTATTTCTATCGATCTTTTTGCCACAGCAATCACCCGTCAGCGGGGTTGATCTGGGGAGCCCAAATCGGCATAGGTGAATGACGGGTGATTGCTGTGGCAAAAAGATCGGTAGAAATAGCTGAGAGACAGGCGAAACGAAGGACCCGCATGGTGTGGTGGTGAACGCGTTACTCACCGGAACGGACAATAGCGCGTTCGTTCCCCACCATAGACACCTGCGGTCCAGAGTTTTGCAAATATCTCAGCAACGTAGTGTTAGAAGGGTTACAAGCGTAACCACAATGTTCCAATGGCACATGGTACATGGTTTGATTCATTACCGTTGTCGCTTCCGTGACATTCCATGCAGTGCCATTCCCAGTAGACAAAGAACCAAACCACTAAGATTTATCCATGAAAGCCGGTCATTATTGACGATATGTGCCAGCAAAAGTGTAGCGACCTCCTAAACAATCTTATGAATGTGGATAAATATGTTCTATTAATATGTGCTCTCTAATGAATTCATTATTTCACCAACTCGTGAAAAACCAACTTGACCTTGAAACGTATGAGCTCTATAGCCACTATACTAAAATCCTCTGGTTAGCTATATTTTGGAACAAACATCGAAACATAAGCAACATTAAATTGGTCATGATAAGGACCAGTGCTTACTTTGACTATTCCAAAAATATTCAAGGTGATCCCAGACGTATTCACAAGCAACAGGTACTCTAAAACCACATAAAAGAATATCGAAACGCACAGAATGAGGATCAGACTGTCATCGTACTGACTATTCACGAAGCTTTACCTGACATCTCCATACAAAACGCAAGCAGACCTCCACAGATTATTAGAAATGCGATTTCGACTGCCGCGTAGTTGCCGTTGTAGAAAAACGCCTTGTTGTAAGAAAGCTCCGGACCTACACAACTATCAGTTTTTATTTTCCTATTTAAACTCAGTCCTCTTAATAGAATATGATATGAATACAAAACAAAACGGGCAGTATATCAATATATACAAAGAATAAGGCGAATGGCGTTGATCAATCTCTATGGGATGCGATATGCTTTCGACTTCATCAAGCTTTACGTTTTATATCTTCCTAAATAAGGCTGGAATCAAACTGTCGACCCTAGTATGGGAGCGTGGTGTAAATGAGAAGCGAGATCGAACCTGTGCGCGATTTAATGTTTATTGCTGAGCACCTCGAATCACTAGCATTATACATGGACCATTGTAAACATATATATTAATTTTTCAGAAACCCGCACTTTCCATTACCACTACAGATACACTCACTATCTAGTGTTAACAATGAGTCAGCTTTGCAAGTGTTTTGCGATTCTCATTTGTTCTACTATTGCCTATGACTTAGTGGAGACCAGTAATCTCCACTACGTTCATGAAAAAGTAGCCCGATAGGTTAGATTTGCCTCAGAGTAACAAAGCCAGTTTCCTCTGTAGCATTCGTGAAAAGTCTGACTATCTGGATGGTAGTCTTCCTTTTGTGCAACTGATATTCTGTGGGATCCAGCCGCTAACAGTTCCTACCTACTAGATTTCTTTAAGAAACCATATGCCCGGTCTACCTAATCTCTCAGATATTGGCGTTCGTGGAGAGGTCTCTGATGTTTTTATCATTGACTCTAGCATGGAATCATAGAATGACTATATCGCCCGCGTCGTATACGTTAAAAACCGCCATGATCCTCTCAATGAAACGCTCCCTAGCGCTCATATTTCAGTCTGGTTCGCAGAAATATAGGGTTCCAAGGCGCCTGCTATGGTAGCGAGTACCGAAGAGTCGCTACAGTTTACATAGAGCAATGTGCTCCGTATCGGGAGCTCCTTTCAGTGTGAAGGAAATGACCCCTTCTAACTAATGATGGTTCTACGATTATTACCCATGCAGCCCGGCGTGGATATTGGACGTACTCACTGGTATATTACTGGGGGTCCTTAGTGCAAACAGCCAGCTTATTTATAAGAGACGAATCACCTTCCATCCTCTTAGGTTGGCTCATCGTCTTAGGTAACTTGATTTCAGCGAATTGACTAAACTATGCATTTCCGTCCAACGTATTCTTGAACATGTCCTCGTATATATGTAAAAGAAGAGTCCGATCACAGCAGAATCAGGGCGCCCGCTTGCATTTAATGGTATTACAAGCTTGGTGCTTTAACAAACCACCCCTTATATGCAATATGAACAAAAATCCCCGGGAGTAATAATCGGCTGTGAAATTTGCAGTGAGGGAGATCGGTGGGATTTGTACCTACATGTTATTATCAATGCACTTGCGGACCCTAGGCCTAAACAAATAGCACAGTCTTCGTGTATGACTTGTGCACAAAGCGCAATGGTGTAATTGGAATGATTTCAGCGCTAAAAAAATTCATTAAGAAGTACCTTCGAATATAACGATGAGAGGTATGATTGGAATGAGCATCCAGGGCTGAACATGAGCAACCATATCCAGAGGATGATTCAAAGCCTGTTCTTCTCTTTGCATTACCAACTGAGACACAGTCCATCTAAAATCCTGCTCAACACGTTGTGGACGACGTGAATTGATTTTGCCCCATATGTAGTCAAAAGCAACATAATCTTTCAACTTTAGTAGAGGTTCACCAAACAGTGATAATTCGAAGTTAAAATAAATACCAAGAGATTGAACAGATTTTTGCCAACCAGATATAAACTTTAATTTAGTGAAGCAAAACTTTTCCTAGAACCTACGAAATCCTTTTGCTCCGTTCATCGCAACTCCTAGCTTAAGTAGCAGTGTTGATATTTCCAGCTGATGCGTTTGATTTTTAAAAAAATTATGGTCCAGCATTAATGCTGAACCATGGCTTTAAAGAAACTGGATAAAATCGAGAATTTTAGGAAGAGCACTTCTATCCTTACGACAACAAGCCAAAGTCTGTTCTGCATATTTTTCAAGCCACAAAATCCTCAAGCTCATGAAGAACTACTGGCGGTTTTCGAGTAAACGGCATCATTGCGAATGGGTTAACAAAAACTTTGCAAAATTTCCATCAGTCTTCGATGGAAGCGATATACGACCATGACAAACACCTGAGTTCGTATAATTTTTCGTCTTATTCTTAGCAAACCTAATTTTTTGGATGATTCAGAAGATAACTGTTACAACACCGCCAGATCAAAATCGCGCGAATAATCGAAAAACTAAATAAGGGCTAAGAGAAAATAACATTACCGAACTCCAGTGCAAGACGCAGCCAGTTCTACCAGTAACAATCCAGTAAGGTCAAGCTGCGTGGAATTCCATGTGAACAGGAAAAGCCCACTTGCAATTAATCCTGCCTCTAAGCCAAGAGTAGGACGCCATCTAAACCACCAACATTTCAGTACTGAAACAGCTCTAAAGGAATCACTACTTTCTAACCACTTCTTAAGAGATCATTACATCCATCACAATGAGCAAAGTAAAGCTAAAAAAGCTCTCAGTGTTGATCAAACCCTGAAGGATGCGCCATGCAGTCGACTTCACTAAGCATCGTTTGGAGGTGATTGGATGCATATTTGGCCTATACAGTGTCTCGCGGTGGCCTGCCGATGTATCGAGCCAGTGTTGCCACCATCCCAGGCAAGTCTGGTACCAATTTGCCGACTCCGGAGGGATGGGAGCCTTGGTAAGCCACGGGCGCAGGACCTTAAGTGTCCTATGGGGCCCCTCCGACAACTGCGCTACATGCACCCAATAGGCAGAGTGTACACACGGAATCGTTGTCGTACCTTTCTAGCCTTAAGAGAAGTGAAAACGCAACGATGAAGAGTATGGAACTGCTTTTTGCCATTGTATACAGGCTGACAGTGACATATTCAAGTGCCCAATTCGAAAGACCGATGTCCAACGAGGCACATATCCCAATAGGAGCAAGCCACCTGGAAATACATGTCGTTAGTGTTCGGAAGTGAATCGAATCGCTCTATGAGTCACATACATACCTGAGCTGTTCTTTCATCTGAAGTCGGATCCTTTTCCTACGAAAGACCTCGTAAACGAAGCGAATAGAAACAGCAGCAAACCATTTCACCATATAATGACAGCATACCACAAACAAAGGCAATTTATAACTCTAAAGTGGGATGATTTTCTACACTGAGTGGAATTATGGTGATACGAGTTATCAACTCACTTTTAACAGCCATTTTTGATAAAATGTAAGGCCGATGGATAGCGGATAGTAGAGAAGCGCTATAAGCGCGATCTTCATCACCATAGTAGACAATGACTGCTACTGTCTAGACTACATTCGTGATCACAACAGCCATCTGAAAATACAGAACAGGTGTGGAGTGGCCGAACTGAATTATGACAGAAGAGACAAGAGCAACAGCAACAACGGCGACAACAACAACAACAACAACAACAGCAACAACAACAATAACAACAACAAGCGCATTGCCTGCTGTTGTCGAAGAAGTGAAAGGCCTCAATCTTCTTTAAGCATTTATCGAATTCGAGCACTGTCGTACCTGTCACGACGTTGAATTCCCAATAAACACAAACAATAGACCAGAACAGAGTAATGGTCGCTAAGCAGGCGACAAGCTCGAGCACTACTGAGACGGATTTCTACGCAGAGTTATTGACTAACACGTGTAAAGGAGTGCTGAAAGCAAAATGAGTGCTTTTCTGCAATGTGCAGACATTGCTACGGTTATGCTTCACGCCGCACACACATGGGCAGAACTCAAGTCATATCATCAAGTCAAGTCTAAATTCCAGTTGTTCTTTGCCGTTCACTAACGATAAATTCCCCAACACATCATCTTCAAAAGTGATCTACTCCTACTCCATCCAGTCGATAAGCAGACGGCGATCAATCACTTCCAGCTCGATAGTTGCGCGGTTCAAACTTGGAACGTGGCAGGCACCACAGCGACGACTCAGCGACACACAGCACCACTAAAGGCAGTGCAACGAACGACTCGAATTCAGGAATTTCTGGAAGCTTGGTTCTCATAACCAAGTTACCAGTTGCCAGGTGGATACAAGTTAAGAATGGCTGGCTTAAACCGCTCATTTTTTGCTCTTTAGCTTTTTCGCCTATCTTGTCAAATCAGTGGGAATTTACCATGAGGAAGTGTCGAATATGCCATAGAGTCGTTTCCTTCCATCTTAGCAATCATCAGAACTATTACTGACTGCAGCACTGATAGATTCGTGACGTGACCTCTATACGAGTCATACGGTGCGAACACCATGTCTGCGTTCAACCTTAGGTCAACACTTCGCAGCTTATAGTGAATTTTCCTAGTTTCAACAAAAACTTTTGGGAATCCACAATATTTCCTGTGTGGTAAGAGTTTCCTTCTCTTCTCACCATGAAATTGCCACTCGGTAGAGCTCATGACGTATACTCCTTCCATGTTGTTGCTTCGAAGCCGATATTTGGAACACAAAAGAAAGTGGACAAGCAGCATTTTGTCCAGCAGCATAAGATTTGGCTCCCTAATATATAGTTTCCGTTTATACGAGAGTCGCTGCTACGGCGAAAGGATAAAAAGAGGATAAAAGATCGAGCATTTACTAAGATAGAGCGTTCAGCGTTGATCAATCCCTGAGGGATGCGCCATGAATCCGGCTTCATCAAGCATCGCGAGAGTCAGTGCTCGCTACCGTATACATATTCGTGCCGTAGCAAGACAACTGATACGTTTTTCTTGTGTGTGCAGTGTGAGCGCAACGAAATGTTCTCTGCTATTCGTATTTCCATAATGAATCATGCGTATCTGGACAGCAATAAAATGGCATTAGTACTTAAAATATATTCAAATAGTGGACATGCCTGAATTTACTTCTGACTGTGCAAGTTACTACAGGATTAGATTTACTACTAACTCTAGAAGTCCCTACAGCATTGGCTTGATTCATGCCGAACAGTGCTGTATTTCCAAGGGATTACATCTGTTGTACGTATTTTTCTCATTGCTTGCAAGTTTCTCAATGGATAGAATCAAAAGTGCTGTTTTAACCATAATCATGTGGGGCGGATAGCACAGTGGTAGTAATGTCCGTCATCATGAGCATGGTGCTGGTTCGATTCCGCACTGGGCCAGCCACGCCTCTAATCCCTCCGGGGTCTGGAAATCGGTACTAGAGTTGTCTAGGAAACTTACTTCTTTCAATCCAATTGGGAGCGCTCCAATCCGGCTATCTCAGGACTTCAGGGAGAAGTACTCGACCAGCATTCTACGAGATTCAAGATAAAATGAAAATCCTCAAGCAGCAACCGAAGCCACAGGTAAAAGTTCGAAGATCTTCGTGCATAATGAATGAGAGGAAGCGAATTAGGTGTGGGAAGCGCCGGGGTCCGCACAGTAGACGTGAAGATGGATCAAATAAAATGTAAAAAAATTGTAGAATTTTTAAAAAATTGCAGAATTGTAACGCATGGCTAGAGCCTGAGCATTCATACTAACACATGTGCATATCATTCCAATTTGTAGTTCTCCATACAAGCCTGAATTGAGGCAGCATATAAAGGAAACCCTATATGCTCACCTACAATCTACTTGACACATTAGATTGCATAAAACGACAGCTATGTCGGCCAAAGGACGAACTGCTTAATAACGATGGAAAAACAAAATAGGAAACACACCAAAATGCTACGTCAGGCATTGGATTGGAAAGCAGAGAGACGAATACTTCGAATTCGAAGTTATAGTCCTGGAATATGAACCAGAAATATGGATTCGTTGAATTTGTGGGAGATATTCTTGGCATATGCTAATATTGTATAAGTCGGCTGAGGAAGTGAGTGGTTGGTGCAAATATAATGAGACAGAAACGAAGAAGCTCACCTTCCATATCAGTTACGGAGAAACACTCGTTATCAATGCAGAAGAGGTAGTGCTGTTCTATGGTCTGCTTCGACTAATCATCCACTAGTCGCACTTGAGATCACCTCATTTCTTCCAATCATCCTTACATTAATATCAGAGGAGACTCAATTAGGTACGTAGAAACGTGGAAGTATCCTCAGAAAACCATAAATATTAATGTGGCTGAGATATTAGCAAAACTTCGGACCGCAGATGTCTGCGGTGGAGAACGAATGCGTTATCACCGTTTCCGGCGGCTAACGCGCTCACTACCACATCATGCGTGCTCGTTTCGCGTGTCTCTCATAAAGTTTTCTATCTACTAGTGCCATCAGCAATCACCCGTCAGCAGCATTGGTCTAGAGAGCCCAAGTCGGCATTGAACCCAGTGAGGCTGTAGTTGAAATCACAATGTTAACTTTATTTGCTGCTTACTACAAAACCTGCTGAGAGACATGCGAAACGATGGACCCGCATGGTGTGGTGGTGAATGCATTAGTCTCCGTAAAGGGTAATAACGCATTCGTTCACCACTGCAGACACCTGCGGTTCAAAGTTTTGGAAATATCTCAGCTTCGTTATGGTTGTATTTCACATATTACCATACCGTGAAAAATTGTAGTGGTTAGCAGATAAAAAGTTAACCATAAACATTCTTATTCTCCATAAGAAGTATCACAGTGCACTCGATGATTTTGAAACGTACACAACCAAATGGTGGTCGTAATTGAGATTACCCAATTATTTAGCTGTAATGAAACTGATCGTTTGGATTGTATTGCTATTTCATTCGTTCTACGGGTAACCCTAACAAGTGATCTTCGGCTGTAGGACAGCGGAAACCAATGTTCTTTTTCTGAGTGAAGGCCTCAGAGTGTGACCTTCCCGTCTTTATTTTGTTGAACTGACGCGTATATTCTGTGTGTACGTCGACATCTTCAAGCTCGCGTGCATGGATGCGCTTTTATATGTGTGCGTTGAGTCCTGAACGTTAATTTTGTCAAAATGTTGAAATCAACAGATTGGAAAGCAATAGGAGGTGGTGGGAGTCGCGTTCCACGAATAGGCATCTAGTCTGTTGTGGTAAACCTGGGAAAGGTTTAGTGAATCCAGTTGCCAACGCAGAGCATGTGAAGTTCATTATGAGTACTTCCAGCTAAATATATCCGAAATCAAAGGCGATTCTGCTTATCCTGTCGGACTCTAACTCTTCGATGCGGTACTGTTGGCTGCGAACATTAAAAATGGGATGGTGACATTCCTCAGCAATTCTAGCTTGCCCAAATTGAACGACTATGATGGCAACACTTCGCGTGGTCTAAATTGAGACGAGAAATCACTGCTCATTATGTACAATTTAAAATACTGAAAAAGAACTATAGTGAACAAAGGTAGAAAAGTTGCAGTGATTCCTCGTGAACTGGGTGCTGAAATAAGAGAAAAACAGCTCCAGAATATTTTTCCTTATCAACCATCTACCGAAAATGAGCACGAAGACCAGTACAGAAAACTAAACAGAGATTGGCTCAAAGCGGGAAAAACAGCTGGTTAAGAACCACGTGTCAGCTTAAAAATGATGTGTTGACTTGTCCCGTTCATCATTCACTTATTGAAAACACACAAACCCACCTCTCATGATTAACTTGAGTACACCGATCCTCCAATATTCAAGGTCAGCTGTGTAAGCGAGCTGGCGGATTGGGTAACATGACCGCTAAGCCTCATCCTCAAGCAGATGCTTAAATCCATGCCAACTCATCTCCTTAACACCAAAATCTCCCTAAACCACCTACCTCGTGCATAGTTTTATAGAAAGTCGATCTTTTGAGTTACATCTTGCACAGCCAAACTGCACGTGTGTATTGGCGTCATTCAGTGTTACCACACTCTACACAAAACTCTCGAATGACGGCACAACACAACCCTTTCACGAGCTACTCATAGAAAATGAAGAGAAAATAAATATGTAACGCTTGTCGATTCGGGGGCTCATGACACTCTAAAAAATTGTTCTCGTTGCTTAGTGTGTAGGCGGTCAGCGAGATACTATGCTCAAATCGGAGGGTTGGCAATGGGACAACGACTGGCACCAAGCCTTGCCATTGCCGTTGTGCACAAGGTGGAAGTCCCAGTTCTCAAGCGCCGTCTTTTCCTCAACTGACGACACATAGACGTCATCTGCTCAAAACAAGAGGAGATAGGCAAATGTTCTGAACTGTTGGATGAACAGTCAGAGTATGCAAAGCTTACACGAGAAAAACTTAGAGAAAAGTGTTCTCTGTTCTTAAATGTTCAAATACACCTTTTCGAAGGTGCTACATTTCAGAATAGCATCGAAAGCAAAAGCAATTGAAACATCATAGTGCTCGACATCAAACAGAAAGCCCCTTCAAAGCTACTCTTCATATCAAATGAACTAAGCATCGGTATTATGGGGTGTTTAAGAAACGGTAACCTGAAGAACTCTGTGGCAATTATAGAAATTCCAGTTAACACTTCACGTCGACAAATGCTACGGTACCGTCTGTATAGAACAGAGGACTGCGTGGTTTGTACTAACAGTAGATATGGAGAATGTGTGAGCTCAGATGCAATATACCTGATCTCATGTAAAACGTGCGGTGATGAACACACTGCTGAAACGGGTAGACCACTTTGTATTCGCATAAGAGAACGCCTAGATAAAATGTCGAACGCCCCCCAACACAGTACTCTTCTAGGTACATACAACGCACAGAGGAACAACGGTGACGATTTTGAGGTAGTGGTCACAGTCCTGGGTTGGGAATCTAAAACACCTGCGCGCAAAACCGTTTAGCTTTTTGGACAAATTCCAAGCATCAAAAAGCAATAGAAAGGGAGGGAGCGACTATCACAAGTGATATGCCGCCTTATCTCAGACCGATTTTATGATCTGACAATTTTTGGATTGGTTTTGAATCAGATTTTTACTAGAATTAAAAAATATTAACCGGTTAATGAAATATAGTGTGGTATAAAATGTTTAAGGGCTAAGGAAACTAAATCGCTGAAACGTCAGTCATCATATTTGAAAAAGAAGAGATACCAACCTCGCGCTGACTTGAACAAGGACAAGCCGTAGGATGTCACTGATTATTCATGCCGAGGTTAGGTGAAGTCGGTCTTTCGAGAGCACTTGATTATTTATTAGATTTGGCAATGCGAACAAAGAATGCAAAGTTAGATTGGCTTGGAACTATCTTACAAACACTCGGCATTACACCAAAGAGAAGTCTATTCCAGTAAAATAACCGGCACTAACTTCTATGACATGCTGAGCACCCTCACGAAATGTAGCTATCCAATCCCTACTTTGTTACACAATGTGACATGTGACTTAACGAAACCCATATTTCCCAGGATCGACTTTCTATTAACCTCGGCACTGGACTATAAATGCGTGGTTTTCTTGTTCAGAAATCGCGAGGTTGTTATATACCATACATTTACTACCGTACAAAACACACGATACATCAGTAGCTGACGTTTAGGCAGTATCGCCTTCTTCAGTGCTTAGAAAGACAAAAACCTGTATGACAATCACATGATCAACACTTTTTCAGAAAAGCAACCGTTTTTCAGGTGAGTTCCACTGAGAAAGAATAGCTGATTATAGTATGGTTGATGACTGCACCACCTCAAATCAAAAATTGATGAGAAGATACGGGGCAGGTCGCGTGTGGCGTCTGAGCATTCATCCCAGCTATTCATCGTGGGTTCTTGGCATTTATCTAAAAAACCTGGATAAGTTTGCACGTTGGTGTTTTAGCCTCTTATGCGAGGATAATGACTTTTACATCAAAATCGTCTCTGCTATGCTTTTTCATCCTATACGCGCGTAGTGGGTACTTGTCCTGCTTCTCGTTTGCCATTTAGGTGTTCTTTTGTGGCAGGGCGGTGAAAAGTGATGTAATCTACCAGGAAGCAAGTTCTGGTTCGATCCCCTTCCAACGCTGTCTTGAATTTTACGTGCAAACGCTTTGGCCGGGTGGGCTCTGTTCCGGAGTGAAACGAGAATCAAATCGGCCAGCATTCTACGACATTCATAAATGAGGCGAAATCCCCAAGAAGCAACCGAATCCACCTGGAAACCAGGAGACCTTCGGGAAATTGGATGGGAGGAAATGAATCGAATACAATAAGTGCTGGGATCCATACAATAGAAGTGAACGATGGGTCGTGAACGAAAAGTTTGCTATCTTTAGTTACTGCAACAGAAATTCAAATGTCCTCTCATTCCGGCCCATAACAACGCTCAACAGTTGTCAGCTAACAACCACAGGGAACTGTTCCAGAAAACACCACGTCGATCGGACTTGAAGGACAAGCTATCTACGGACTTTCTTATTTGAGCACACAATTTCTAAAATTGCGCTATCCGATTACCACTCAAATCATTCTCTTCAACAAGAACAACAACTCTACGCAAACAACTGTGTTCACTCAAATTTACCTTCGCCAAGTGACTTAGGATTGTTTCTGGCTTGAGAGAATAACTGCGAAATAAGCACTATTGACCGAACTGTCGTTACAATGACAGAGACGAGGTTATGCAGCCGACTTCATCCCTTCGTGTACTTGCCTGTGGACGAATACTATCTTATCGATACAAACAGAAGCGTGTGCTCACACGACGCTTATTAACGTAGTACCTTAATGGAGACCTCAAGCAATTTCATTTCAAATTTTCTATTTGTGCAATATTTGTTAAAGTCTCCAGAACGATTTTCACTGCAACTTGGAAGGCGAACACTCGAAACGAGAGAAACAAACTGTTTATTAGCAAACAGCGGCTATCGTGGAGGAAAGATGAGTGAGTTCAGGTAAGCACTTTGCTTGCATTCACCCCAAATTGCTGCATCGTCATCAATGGATATTTGAGAGATGGCTTTTTCCCCAACGGAGATCTTAGCAGATATGGTCTTCCAATGAGTGCCTTTGTCGTCGTAGAACTAGAAAAACAGTGTCGCTTCGAAGACTGTTGGCGTTCTATTCTCTTACACCACAAAACGGTTTTGGGAACTCACTTCCACTTGTCCATGAAGGGAATACAGTTGTTCGGCTTCGGCAATGAAAGCGAAGTACGCAATGGTTGTGTGAAGCTGCGTCACCCTCTAAACGAATTACTTGTCACACCGATAAATGTGTCAGCGCACTTTTTTCGACAAACTTCCACTGCCCATACCTAGACGTTTCCTTCAGAAAATAAATGAATCCGAATTTGTTCATATTTGGCGATGTTCTAGCAGATTTCAGTAGAAATCAAGAGGGGATAACGAGGAAAATCTTAGGCGATGCGTTTCACCTCAGGTAATCTACTCAAAATCCAGTTCTTCGTAAATATCAACATAACATACGTCATTGTCTGGTCTCGGAATAATATTGCTGTCTATCTCAACACGGAGATACGAAGCAAAGTCCTTGATCGCGTTTACGAACAGCGTGTGGACCTCTCCACCATTCTTGTATTCAAGTCGTTTCCTCAGAATTTCCGATCGAAAACATGTTTCTCCTGAACCGATACCGAGGACACAGTACAGCACGCAAATCAGAAATGCAGCAATGATTTTCATCTGCAAAGGCCTCATGTGAGAATAAAGAAAGCAAATGAACAGAAAACAAACACAGGCGGCGAGATTCAGTAGGCGGTTGTGCTTTGTAAGCAATGAAGGTGTTCGGTAGTAGCACGCCTATTGATGAATACGGGAATTTGAAACTTTCTTTGAGATGGAAGATGTGAAAGTGAAAGAGCTCCGGGGTTCAGAAAACGGCCATGCTGAGATACAGCAGAAAATATGGAAGACAGTGGTAGTTGATTTTAAAAACCGACATTTTCTTAACTTCGAATTCTTCGCCAACAACAGTCGAAGCTATCGGCGAACAAAAGTGGTTCGCATTGTTGATGAACATGTCATCTCCCTTGTTAGTCTTCGGCAAGGTCGGTCGGCGCCCACAAGCTCTCATTGGTCTTATGCTCACGTGTCAGTCATTCATCTATTGATAATTTCATCTTTCCCAGATCTCCAAACCGGTGCGGTCTTTGCCTTTATACCACGTGCTCTCATAGATGATCATTCGAGAAAAATGTTGGCACTCCACGCTGCGAACCACTATGCCGATCATAACTGGGGAAAATTCCTGTAGAATATGCTGTTATATCCGTACTACACACTTTGGTACTACTGGAAATATCTTCTATTCACAATACAGTATAATATAGATTGGGATAAATGAGGGTTACGTCGAGCTCCATTGTTTGACGAAAAGATATTTGCTGATGACAGCTTCTAAAAATTGCTTGTCTTGGCAGCTCCACATCCATATTATGTAGGGCTGACAGCAAAAATTTGAGTAGTAGCTCAAAGAGGACTGAAATAGCTAAAAGGTTAAGATAGTCTCTTAGCGGCACAGAGATTCTGGAAATGAGCAGCGGTAGCCAATTGGTGAAGCATGCAACGAACCTCGAAACTGCAGTTCAGAGGGGTGTGGGGAAATTGGGGATTACAATGATAGACACTGACAGACAGACATCGTCTTTATATAGGTCCGGCCGTGTTTATCTTCGAACTTTACTGATATGAAAACGTCTTCTCTAGCTGTTAAAGGGTGAGGTTCATAAGATATTTGCATTCATGCTGATTTCAAGGTTTAAAGCCTAATGCCCGATATGAATTGGGTGCGATGCATTTCACACCGGATTAATGACGGCTTTTACCACTGTGCGAATGGATACTAGCTCGTGTTAACACTCTGGCGACGACGCCTAGTCGTGGGTTTGTTGCGGATTGGAGACGCCTTGTTTTCAGTCTTTATGGAATTTTCGGTTTTTCGTAAATGAACAGTGATTTTGACGATACAACACGATACTCTCAGCATGTGAAAGTATTTTAGTAAGAAAGTAAGAGTTACACCAACGTATCGAATGACTGCAATGCAGCCAGCCCATCCTCGAACTTTTTGTTGAACATGAAAGAAGAATAAATATGGACGGCTTGCCTATCCAGCAGTTTATGGCTCTCTTAAAGGAGTGCCTAAACTGGCTCGATCTTCAAATTGCCTGGGAAATACTACGCGCAAATAAATGAGCTGGCAATGAGAAAACGGCTGGCACCAAGCCTTAGCATTGCGTTTATGTCTAAAATAGAAGCCCCCGTTCTCGGTCTCCGACTCCTATTCTACTGTAGATGTAAGGTGATCGTTTTGTTATTTTCTGTACTCAGAAGTAGATAAACAAATGCTTTGAATTGGTAAATGAGCAGTCGGAGTACATTAAATTCACCCGGAATCAACCGAAACGAAATTGACTTCCATTTCTTAACATTCAAATTGACCCTTCAGGTAGAGGTTACATGAAAAAGTAGTAACGAAAACCAAGTAACAAGAACATTCTCGTTCATTTCCTTTCTTCCCACCCTTCACACACAAGGAGGGCGCTTGTGAGAAACATGTTTCGAACAGCCACTTCTGTGTGCACAAGTAGGGAACTAAAGTAAGAATCGCGCGACTTGGCACGGCAAATAGCCGTCTCCAATGGCTACGAAATACTAACCCCACGAGATAAGATTAGAAGGAAGCGACGCTCCAAAACGAAAGACTTGGCCTAAAGAAAATCACGTTTATGTTGGTCTTTATTAGGGATGGAGTAAGTATAGCTATGAAACGATGCTTAAAAAGGTCAGGTTTAGAGGAATCGGTAGCGATAATTGAGATGCCGCTGAATACTCTTCATCGTCAATTAGTTGGTAACCGCCTATATGACCGTCTATGTGAAACACAGAATTGCGTATTTTGCACTTATAGCGGGGACGGTGACTGTATGAGTTCAGGTACGATATACCTGATGTCTTGTAGTACTTGCGCAGACGAATATATTGGCAAAAAGGGCATACCTTTATGTAGCCGCATAAAACAGAATCTAGATGGTCAAAAAGTAAGGCAAGGTACGTCACCGGGGACGCATAGCATACAAAATCATAGCGGAGACGATTTTGATATAAAGGTCGCTACCCTAGCATAGGTCTCAGAACACTAACACGCAAGCTTCTCGATGCTTTTTGGATAAATGCCAAGTATATGAGAATGGATAGTAGGGAAGAATGCCCATAGATAACACGTGATCTAGCCCCGTATCTCAGAACTGGTTTTTGATGTGGGGTGGTGCAATTATCAACCATATGCAACTCTGAGCTGCTGTTCTTCGTCGATGGAAGGCAGGTAAAAAACGATGGGTTTGTCAAGAAGCCGATGATCGTGTAATTATCGTTCAGATTTTCATCTTTCCTATTGTGCTGTTGAAGCGTTTGACCTATTAAATCACACATCAACGTGCGCCTCCAGGCTCTGAAGAAAGCGATGCTACCGGGATGTCAGCTACAGTTGTGCTATATGTGTTTTTTGCATGGGAGTAAATATATACTGTATAACAACATCGCGATTGCTAAACAAACGACGCATTTATAATCCAATGCTGAGGTTAATAGAAAGTCAATCCTGGGAACGGAAGGAACATATTCCGATAGAATGAACGACTCAATTACCCATTCAAAAAAGAAAGTTTGGATAAGAGCACTTAACTGTTCACAAAATGATGGAACTCAATATTTTCACCTGATAGCGCGACAACACACCTCTTTCACCTTAGCAGAACCAGGTATAGGTGTATTTTACAACAGCTAGATTCCCTCAGAGGTTGTGCACATGACAACATTGTGGAAAAGACTGCTCTGCCACTCGTAGGCATCAATGATATGTATGTTACTATTTGCTAAATGTTACTATGGTCAGTGTCCCATGGACTAAGGCGCGTGTGGCGCAGTGGTTGGAGGCACCACTGCGACGCACACGTGGAATCAGTCCCCGCGCCCATGGCTCGCCAAGCCTTCCATGTCTCCGAGTTCGGTAAATAGGTATCAGAGTTGTCTGGGAGGATAGCAGCGCTGGCTTAATATATCGGTGGGCCGCGGCGAGTCATTGTAAAGGCCATATATGCATTCGATCATCTCCAAACAATACTTAATGAGGTCGCTTGAATGGCGCATCCCTCAGGGGCTCGATCAACGCCGAGAGCTTAACCCTTTTATTTTATTTACCACGGCCCATTGTTCAAATGCATTACTGTCAGCACTTTGAAATATTTTGCACACTGTGTTGAGTCCATTTCTGGCTTTTCTATATCCGCATATTCCAAACGAGTTCTTCAAACTGTTCGGTTTATGCAAGGATGTTGTGTTATGTTTATTAGGCCGACGTTTCCACGTCTTCGTCTGCTGAGCCGCAATGATTCGAGGAGTCGATTGTCCATAGCCGTTCGTATCCGCAATGTGTGTGCTCGTAGTCGCATCGAGTCAAATTTCTGGAGTGTAACACAGGCTGAGTGAAGAACTTCACTCGGCCGTGACCTTCTGTATAATTCAATATACGAAGTTTGTTGATCTATTGCCGTCCATTTTGATTCGTCTTCAAAGTAACAATGCGTCATGCAACAGTCGTTGTTACCGCAACCAACGCGCAGAGAATCAACAACTATCGTATATAAAAGAGCACTACGGGGTAGTTTTTTCGTCGAGCAGTAGTCCACTCTGGAAGATCTGATTCGATGTGACTACGAAAGCCCACACGTTGACGAAGAACGACTACGGACCACCGATTTGAAGCAGTCCGACTCTGAGGAAGACGAAGACGTTGAAACGCTATCCGAAGTAAAGTTCTATGATAGTCTCGTGCTAGCTTAACAATCTAAAGAAATATTAATTATTTGTGCCGAGGAGAAATAGTAGTCGGCCTTGAAGAACAAATTGCCCTATTATGATAGCACAGTAGATGATCGATCGAAAATCTTCAACCTTTACCAACGCATGCGTGAACTAAATGTGATGTATCACGTGGTGCTTGTTGTTAAACTGAAGCGATTCACAAAGGGGAAATTCTAGAGTTTGCTTGAAGGGATCCAGAAAAACTCTTTGTAACCTTTCGTCTTGATTTTACACCGTCTCATTTCACGTTCATATTTGCTGCCTCCTAAAAGCATTCTCGACGCTTTATCAAAGCAACTTAGAAGACGTTGTCCAGATAAGGATTTTTTATTGAAATTATTGCTGCGGATAGACCATCGCCTTATTCACCACTTCATCGTTGTTATGACAATGGTCTACGTCGAACACCTTTGATGAATGACTGTTAGCCTATTTGATTTCCGATTTATGTACTCGAAAATTGTAATCTCATAACGTTAGTATAATTAAAGCTCTGTTTTCTTGGTAAAGATGTGTGCCCACCAATGTTTCCTGCTCCAATTCATAAATAGTGTCTTGTTCTACCCCTGAACTTATACGAGGTTGTTATACGAGATTTATTCGCGAAACGTTTCAACATCTTCTTCTCCAAAGCTGCAGTGATTCGGCTGTCCACAGCCATTCGCCCTCCCTTGAAATGTCGGTCCATTTCATTCCATACAGTTCACCTCTATCTAAAATGTGTTTATTTGGTTTTAAGAGCCTATGATCACTCCGGCCACGTTTTTCAAATAATACAAGACCAATTTTTTACTGATTTTTTAGTTCCTCTTCAATTTTTT